CGGAACGATTGAACAACACATTTTGGGTGAATCGGTCGCGCGACTTTGCGAGGGAAGGGAATCTACACGTCAATGTCAAAAACCTGATTATGTAGTCGGGTGGACACGGACTTTTGACGGACTATTTCTCGTTTTTTTAACTCTCTCTCTCTCTCTTCCTCTCTCTCTCTCTCTCTCTCTCCTCTCTATATTGTTTTTTTCTTTCTTTCCATTCCGCGATCCGCCCGCGACCCACCCCCAAGAGCCGTGATCAACCTTCACGACCCGCCTACGCGACCCACCTGCACGAACCGCCCTCGACCCACCCGCGACCTGCCCGTGATCCACCCGCGACCCACTCCACGACCCACTCCACGCCAGTCCCTCGCGCTGCGGAAATAAGGAACAATAAAAAAAGAAACGAAAGCTCTTCTGCAGTTGCACGATCGCGAAAGAATGCGAGACAAGTTGGTAGAATAACCGCAAGAAAACGTTGAGAGCACGAGCCTTTCGCGAATCCAAATTGAATCTTATTTCAGCGCCTTGGCTGGTTATAATTTCCCCGCCCCCCCGTGCCCCAACAGCAGGCCAAATGCCTCAAGGCTCATTCGCAAACCAAATGACCTGAAACGCGCGACGCTGCCAGGTAAACACGATCAAGTGAGGAAGAGGAACAGGGGGAGAGGAGGAGGGGAGGAAAAGGAGGAGAAGAGGAGGATGGTCGCACCGCGGCGAATTCTGGCATTCAGTCCTCTTGTATGCTCTCGGGCAAGGTCGATCACAAGGCGGATGCTCTGGCTCCCCCCCTCCCGCCCGAATACTTCAGCGCCCAAGCATTGTAAACAAAAAACAATGTTGTCTCCAGCACTCCGTGGTGCGTTGAATTGTTTTCGTGTTCAACTTGTTCTAGTAGTGTACCACGTTTGATACTCAACCCTAGTCGCGCCCGCCCTGTCCGCGAGATCAGGTTGACACCGGCGACGTCATACCAGTAACCGTCGATCAACATTGAAGCCAGGGATTACTAGATCTAATTGTCGTTGGCTGCTAGGCGTTAAAAAGCGAAAATCTCCAAACGGCGCGAACAACTGATCAAAAGCGTTTGCATAATAAAAAAAATCAGGCGCATTGATCCACACGGACGAATCTAACGATGCATATCAGAGTGAGGGAGCGAATGGTCATTCATTGTTCCTACGTGCGTGGCTGAGGTGAGAATCCGTAATGAGGACTTTGTTGTTGTTATTACTGCTGCTATTTATTGTCATCGTCCCCCAAACGACCCACCCGCGACCCGCTCCGCGACCCACCCGCGACCCTCTCCCGCGACCCTCTCCCGCGACCCTCTCCCGCGACCCACCCCGCGACCCACACACGACCCACCTGCGACCCACTGGCGACCCACCCTGTGACCCACCTGCGATCCACCCTGCGAACCATTCGCGACCCACCAACGACCCATCCGCGACCCACCCCGCGACCCACCCGCTACCCACTCCGCGACTCGCCTGCGACCGATCCACATTGATTTGAAGAAAAAATCGGCGCCTGCGACGGGTTCTTTGTATAAATTGTGTAACTTGGCGCCTGCGGCAAGCTTCTCCAGAGTCTCGCAAGCTGTCGACGTCCCCACCCACCCCTTCCTCTTATCCGCATCTGCGGCTACGTATTTTTTCCATGCTGGTTCGGGCCTGCGCAAGGAAGCCCGTCTGAGTCGTCGCTAAGTCTTCGGTTTCGGACTTGACCTCGTCACCCTGGCTGGTCAGATCGTCCTTGTCGCAAGGCACTTCCTCGATGTCCTCAAACTCGGAGATCGCGTCAACATTGTCCGGGGCCTCGATGGAAGCACCATACTGGTCGGAGTCGTAGTAGTCCGTTCCGTCGCTGTCCACATCCATGCCGGTTTCGTCCCACGTGTCGTCTCCCACCACAACACACATGGTCTCATCGATCTGTTGTCGTAACAATCTGACTCCCATCGCGCGGGCTCCCACATGACGTCCCATTGGTTTGGCATGGGGTTGGCCGTTGTTGTCTCGACATCTTCCATGCATCTCCCATGTCTGCACGGTTTCCCCTGGGGCCGTAGGCGACCCGAGGAGCAGGAGGAGGTGGAGGAGGATGCGGAGAAGGATGCGGAGGAGGAGGAGGAGGAGGAGGAGGAGGAGGAGGAGGAGGAGGAGGAGGAGGAGGAGGAGGAGGAGAAGAGAGGAGGAGGAGGAAGAGGAGGACGGGTCGCCCAAGCCCTCCGGAGAGACCCTCCACCCATGCCCCCCCCCGCCCGCGTCATAGCCCGCCGGCGGCGTCCAGGGGCCGAGGGCGTCCGCAAAAGGGACATCGGCCAAAACTCACCCGTCTCCAGCATGCGCCGCTAGCACCCGGAACAGGCGCGGCAGTCGGAGGGCTTCTCCGAAGGGCTTCGGCGACACGACCTCCTCCTTCTTCCCCCTTTCCTCCTCCTCCTCCTCCGTCCTTCTCCTCCTCCTCCTCCTCCTCCTCCTCCTCCCCCTCCTCCTCCTCCCCCTCCCCCCCCTTAGGGCCGACGGTATATGTTACCGACAACGATGAGGTCTGCAAAGGCTGGTGGGCTCGAGCTTACGACCAACCGACAGGCCCCAACGCAGACATCTGGAGGCCATTCAGAAACATCTGAAAGTTCGAGCCTGCAGCGAGATTGTTGTTCTTAAGGTGGCCTCACACCTCGACGGTCGACAGGTCATCGAGCAGCAGGTGCCACCGTGGATGGTCGAAGGAAATGCATATGTGGATGTCCTCGCGGGAGTCGCCGCTCGCGAAGCTCGAGTCCCTGAGGCCCAGAGAGCTCGTGTTCAACAGGTGGAAGCAGATGCACGGCTGGTTCGACTTAGGCTTCTTCGGATATGCCTTGAGTCAGCCGTGCACAGTGGCAAGAGGAAATGTTCTTCTGAAGCTCCTGCGTTGCCGCCTCCCTCCCCCTCGACCCCGTGCCGTCGCTCTTCTGGGTTCGTCTCACAATGTAGATTGCAGCGGGAAGAAATGTCTGGTGTGTCGGGGTTCGTCTTCAGACGCCAACTTGAAGAATTGGCTCGGGACCCCGTGTTTTCCGCTCGTGTTTGTTTCCGACAAAGTTTCTGCCTTGCCCAGAGGTCGGGTTTTAAATCTCGCAGGGGGTGTGGTCCATAGTTCCCATAACATGAGGTTTCACGAATCTCAAGAAGTTTGGTTCTGTGGCAGTTGCGGGTCTGTCGGCTCAGCTCTTCTTAGCAAGAAGCTGGCGGGGGCCTGCCTCCCACCCACCTTCACTGGCAAGGAGTATCTCCGTCGTTTAGAGAGAGAGATCTGCCGCCTAAAGCCCTCAGCAAGGCGGTGGCGGCCAGGGCTTAATTATATATAGACTCGCTTCGCGACCGCTCTCATCTCATCTCACCTCCTCCCCCTCCTCCCCTCCTCCCCCTCCTCCTCCTCCTCCTCCTCCTCCTCCTCCTCCTCCTCCTCCTCCTCCTCCTCCTCGGGTCACATACGGCACCGGGGGAAACCGTGCAGCGGCAGAGCGGCAGCGGGAAACCGGTTCGAATCGAAAACAGCATGACAGTGTGAAGGTGGTTATCTCGTCCGCGCTCGCAAAGCAGACGGTTGCGTTCGTTTCGGCAGGAGGAGCACACATAATTTTGGCAACGAACGCACTGGCACACCGATGCCACGAAACACTACGAAACACGATGGGGCCTTTGAAAGCTGGATGGACTGCATGACCGTAGCGGCACTGATGCGGCAATACAAGCAATCCAATACTGCACAGCTGTGGAGCCAAATCAAGTAGTACCTATATTATCGATACAGAGGGGGCGTTCGATCGTGCCGTGCCCGCATGTTCGAAACGTCTACATGACGCGGGCGCTCGCGCGAATTGTGCAAGTCGACCGGCAGTGGTACGCTGTAGCGTCAAAACTCAGATGGAGGGGCATCGGCACCACACTCACGTTCGCAAGGCGATAGGGGGGGAACAGGGGGGCGCTCCTGCCTGCACTCTTCTGCTCGGCATTTGACCCCGCTCCCCGGCAGCTTCGGGCCCGGAAGTCAGCAGGAGCAGAAATCATCGCGTATGTTCATGCGCGACCCTGCCGACGTGGCCAATCTATTCAATGATGCTCTGGACACGCCACGCGGAGTCCTTCACATAGACGTCAACGTCGGACAATCTTGCTGCGTGGTGCAAGCGTGCCAACCCTTGCCTTCCAGGACTTGCCTTGCGGCTCGGGCTGAAAACCCTTGGATACACGAACGTCCCGCCAATGAACAAGAAAAGCGTGTACTGGGTACCCCGTTTGGTAGGACCTCTCATGCAAGAGCATTTGGCCTTGGTATGAAAGACTGTGAACATATACTTGTATTCCTACCTGGTCCCCCTTCTCTCCAATCAGCCTTGCTATTCTATACTTCTGTGCAATACCACGAGAACGCACTACCATGCGCATCTCGAGACACCGCGGAAACACACGATAATATTACATTCGATATACTCTGGTATGTAATGTTTCGCCGCTGTGGGACCCGGATCTGTTGACCCCGACCTTCACGACGCACATTCCGTACAGGTTGCCGCTGCGTGTTGGTTGTCTGGGTCCGCGGGATTTGGTGCTAATCGCCCCTGTTGCATCTTGTGCAAGCTGGGCGGATTCGCCACTCAGCACTCTTGGGAGCGATATGACAACGCCGTTCCCCTGGTGACGGGGGCCTAACCCGACTGCCTCCGCGCGGCAAAGCGCAGCGCTGCCATTACCCATATTTATGTACCACACGGGAAGCAACGCGCCTGGATCTGATCGTGTCTTGCCTCAACGTGGCACGAGGCCTGCCATTGTTTTCCCATGTCGCGACGGGGTTGCGTCCATCCACAGAACAGGAACAATGAGACCAAGCACATGCAATCGCCAAGGAGGGTTGTTGGAGGCTGTGGAATACGATGACAATCGTACGTGACCCTCCCCCGTCACCATCCGTTCCCTCGCCCCCCCTTTACGCCCCCCGCCCTGTCCTTTTTTGTTTCGGAAGCAACCGTGAAACAAGCAAGGCTCAGCCTGCGCTGGGCTCGACGGCTAAGCCTGGACGAGCGGGCTCGAAGACGCTGGCGACCGTCTCCTCGGCCGACACGCCACTGAGAAATCGCCCCCCCGGCAAGACAGCGTCGACTCGCCAGGCTACGGAAGCCAGCCTCCCAGCACGATGGTCGGCCATCAACTGCCCGTAGACGTCTGCAAGGCGAGCGGTGGGCCCTGCCTTAGTTCTGCAGCGCTCCGCCCCGCTGAGGTTCACAAAACGTATCCAGTCGCCGTCGAGAGACGCCTGCAGGAGTAACGCTGGAAACAAATGGGGTGCGTAGGTCAGGTTCCCGACCAACGCCAGGAGGTCGCACTGGCCGTCACTGTTGCGGCCGCAGGCTACGGCCGTGCCATCGCTCCTGAGGAGGACTGTGTGATTCTTTCCAGCGGCCACTTGCGTGTATGACAGGCCCGCGACCAGCGCTGGCAGGTGGCACTGACCATCATGATTGCGCCCGCAGGCTACGGTGGTGCCATCGCTCTTGAGCAGGACTGTATGGTCCCCTCCAGCGGCAACTTGCGCGTAGGTCAGGCCAGCGACCAGTGCCGGGAATTCGCATTTACCAGAAGTCTCGTCGCCGCAGGCCACCACGGTGCCGTCGCTCCTAAGCAACACTGTATGGGCCCCCCCAGCGGCAACTTGCGTATAGCGTAGGCCCGCGACAAGCTCTGGGATCTGGCACCGACCATCACCATTGCCGCCGCAGGCCACGGCGATGCCGTCGCTCCTGAGCAGGACAGTGTGGTACTCTCCAGCGGCAACTTGCGTGTAGCTCAGACCCGCGCCCAGAGCTGGGAGCTCACACTGACCAAAATAATCGCTTCCGCAGGCCGTGGCGGTACCGTCGCTCCCGAGCAGGACCGTATGCTCCACTCCAGCAGCAGCTTGGGTGTAGACCAGGCCCTCGACAAGCGCAGGGAGCTCGCACTGACCAAAATGACCGTCGCCGCAAGCAATGGCGGTGCCGTCGCTCTTGAGCAGCACCGTGTGGGCCTCTCCAACGGCAACCTGCGTGAAGGTGAGGCCTGCGACCAGCGCCGGGATCTCGCACTGACCAATCTTCGGGTGCGCCGAAGAGGGCGGCCAGGAAGAGGGGTGGTGGTGCGCACCGTGGCTGGCCCGAGGCATGTGCGCGGACGAGTTGGGGCCAGGGGGACGCGCCGAAAGAGGAGGTGAAAACGGGGACCATTCTGATGGCCCGGGGCCCGAGAACGGGGCCGTGGAGGCCGCCGTGGATGGAACAAGACACATGTCGTCGGGTACCTGAGGCAGCCATCTCAGCTCTCGTGGCGAGCGCGTGGCCCACATGACACCACGGAGATGTGAGCTGGCTACACGCAAGAGTGGGCCTAGGCAAGATTGACCTTTCGTGCGCGGCCAATGGGGAGCCCTTCGGGGACACCACCAGGCGCGCAAACCTCAGCGTAATCTCGTGGATCCTCCTCACGGTTCGGCGACGGCCCGCGTGGACCATGACCAGAATCGGCATCGACAAGATCCCGCGACATCTTGGTCATGGTCCCCGTGCTTCTTCCCTCGAATCCACCCCATCTTGGACGCCCCCGAGATGTCGTTGAGGCCGCATGCCACGACCGTGCCGTCGCTCCTGAGCAGGGCCGTGTGGCACCCTCCAGCGGCGCACATCTGCGAGAGCCGCGGCGCCGCGGTGTGTGGTGCCAGCGGCGTGTGGTGCCCGCGGTCGACCCAAGCGGCGTTTTGGCGATGTCGTGGGCCGCTTTCGCTTCGACCTCGTCTTGCAGCAAGGGCGGATGGGAGCCACAGAGAGGGAAAACGAAAACAAAACGACAACGAAAAACGCCCTTTAGGTTGATTTGGGAGTCCCGAAACGGTGCGGTGACAGACCGTACGGTGACCTCGAAATCCCCCAAGACCTCACCGCACGGTCCGTCAACGCACGGTTTTGGGACCTCGGATGCCCCAGTCGCCCGAGACGTCCTCGGAGAACGACCCGAGCCCCAAAACCGTGCGGTGACCCCGAATCCCCACCGACTCACCACACTGTGTGGTGACCACCCCGCTTGGGGGCCCCCGATCGATCCCTGGGGCTGCCAAGGGGGGGGGGCGCAGCTGGCTCGACGCCGGGAGCAACCGCGCGAGGGCGGCCGGCCGAGCGCTCGGGCGCAGCAGGCACGTGCCGAGGGCGGGCGGAGACGAGGAGGCAGCGAGGTGAGGGCACCGCCTGCGAAGCCATTTGGGCAAGGAGTGCAGGATCCCCAGCAGGGACTCACGAGGGGCCCAAGAGAGGCAGCTCGAGCTGACATTCCGAGCCCTCCGCCCAGGGAGGCCCCCCGAGACCGCCAGCAGACGCCCATGGTCTGGAGGCTGGTGGAACTCCAATCGTGGATTGGCCATGGATCTCACCGCCGCCCTCACCAGACAAGGGATCCTCCAGGGCCAGAAACCTCTTGGACAACATCCTCAATGAACGCCCCCACCGTAGGAGGGGGCCGTCTCACGGGGGGGAAGACGTCGAGCTGGAATCGGAGGTGAATCCCCGATAGATTGGTGATAAGAGCGAGCCCACAAACTCCTGGGTGGGGTGGGCCATCGGGCCCCTGTCGGCGATGAGTGGGCGCTTCGGGGCCGATGCCTTCCCCTCTGAGCCTATCCCCCCTGACGTTCTCCCGCGGCCTCCGGGTCATAGCTCGGCTCCCCGGGCGGCCATCCGCGACGATTCCCAACTCCGGAACGCCCTCGCCAAGGCGCAGCGGATGGAAGACCACCCCAGGCCTCGAACACGTCCGCGAACTTCCGAACACTTCCGGGAACTTCCGACACTTGGTTGACAGACCTTCACCCTGAGCCTCTGCCCCCCTCACGTTGCCCCGGACGAAGGCAGACGGAGAGAGAGAGAGAGAGAGAGCCGCGGATGGCGCAGGCGGGCCGGTGCAGGAAGGGAGGGCCGAGTCGAAGTCCTGAGGGGCATGGAGAGGCGGGGACCAGCACAGGGGGGGCTTTGTTTCCAGCGTGGGTCTGTTACTACAGAGAGGGTCATGAAACAAACGTTGAAACACATAGTATGCCTATCTATGCATATGCTCGACGTTCCCCCCGGGGGGGGGGGGAACGTCGAGCTGGAATCGTCGGCGATACATCGCACAGAGATCGGCGCTAGGCCCCCGACAGCGAGCCCGCACGTTCCTGGGCGGGGCGGGCCGGCGGGCCCCTGTCTGCGGTGAGCGGGCGAGATTCGGGGTCGGTGCCCGCCCTGGGCATTTTCCCCCCTGTCGTTGCCCCTGGAATCCAGAGGGGAACCCGAGGAACAGGTCCGGCGAGGGGAACCCGAGGAACAGGTCCGGAGTCAGGAGGGCGGCGAGGTGGGGTTGGGCCACAGGTGGGGTTGGAGGACAGCAGCCCTCGATGGTCCCTGGAGGAGGCAAACATCGGCCTCAAGCCGGGTTCGTTCCACAGCCGCACTCTGGGCCGAGACCCCCTCTGTGCGCCCCCGACGGAGAGGCGCCGCGGGCTCCCTGGGTAGGCGCCGCATCGGCACGGAGGTGGCCGATGAGGACGGGGTGGGAGCAGGGCGAGGGGCGGCACTAGAGGGCAGGTGTCTCGGTGTCTCGATTTGGAGAGACGTGAGACTCGGCTTGGGGGAACTCGGGTCGGCCCGACGGAGCTATCATGAAGATGACCCGACCCTGTCTGAAGCTTGACGCAGGCTCCCGCTGCAGACGTCCCACGAAAACTGGACCGTCAAAATTCAGGACGGGCTCGTCAAAAAGCGCATGCGAACCCGAGTTACGGCGTGCTCGAGTCTTACGTCTCCCTGATCGATGGGAGGCAGTAGTTGCGTGTGCACGCATGCTTGTTCTCTCGCCCCCCATACTATTCCTCCTCCTCTCCTGCTCTCGTCTTGCATCGAGTCTTAAGCGAAAAGAGAGGAGACTACGCGTTTCGCCCCCTAGGGGCTCTCTCCAGGCTAAATTGCCTACGGCGCAACATCAAACGAACATCGTCGACAATTGAACCGCAGGCGGAGCGGAGCGGATCTCTTCCCCGGTCTCTCCTTCACCCGCTCTCCCCCTTCTCTCGACCAGCTGGCACCAAACACGATACGTACGTCATCAAGGCCTCCGACTGCTGAGTGTTCGATCCTCGCACGTGGAGCAGGCGCCTCAAGGTCTGGTCTGGTAACACTGGGAAGCCAAGGTCGAACTGGAAACGCAAATGGACCCATGGGCGTTGCTTCCTGGGGAGGAGGGAGGGGGAGGAACATGTTTTGGTGCCCGGGCGTGTTCCTCGATGAGGGCGGGTGCTTTCCCACGGTGGCGGCGTGTTCTTATTCTAGAAGTGTTGCCCCTCACTCGCTTCCCTGTCGGCCACGCTCAACATTCATGACGTACTAACAGCTCTGCGTAGCTAACAGCTCTGCGTAGCTGGGACAGTCTGGAATGATGGGGGCGAGCAGAGCTGGCTGCGCGAATTTAGAGGGACGACTTCACAGCGCCGATCGCCGTGTGCTAAATGTGAAACAGTCTGCCCTACTCAAGAGATGCTCCAATATATCTTCTGCACCCTAAGCATTATGCCCGAAACCATGAAACTAGCTGCTGGCGGGATGCACACACATGTAGTGCTCCACCTAGCTCGTCGAGGGTGAGAGAGACAGGAGCAAGGAAGCAACGAGATAGTTTGCGCGGGTGCACTTGCCTCGACTGGGAAAAGAATCATCGGCCCCCGGCGCTACGCGATATCTGCTGCGGTGGATTTGCATCCTCCTCGTCCTTCCTTTCCTCCTCCACAGGTCCGTCGTCGGCCGGAAATCGGCCTGGATCTCGTTCTGCGGATCCTTGGTGCAAATCGCGGTGCTTCCACAGACCGTTCGCTCGCCCGCGGCAGCAAAATCTGGGGGTGGAGGCGGCGAGAAGTGGATAGGGAGCAGGAACTTGAGGGGGTGTAACGGAGGTAAACAGGGAACCAAACGGCGTGCAGCCACCTCCACGCCAACTACTGCTGGGGCGGCTGCGACTAAAAAGTTCGCGGGTGGCGCGGCCTCCTCTCAGAGCCGAAGACGGTCGAGAGGCGGCGGCTGGAGGCCGCCGATACAAGGCATCTGCAGAGAGCGGCCGAAGTGAACCTCCCAGCGCAAGACAACTTGAGCGTCTGCGCAGTCTGCCACGCTCTCCACGCGCAGCCTCACTGGGATCTGGGCCACTTGGCGACCAGCGTGCGCTCCAGTGTGGAGTACATGGTGTAGGCGACGGCGACCTGGCCAGTGTCCCGCCTCTCCCTCCCATGTCGAGGCGAGCGGAGGAGGAGGAGGAGGAGGAGGAGGAGGAGGAGCCGGGGCTATGGACGGGGCGCAGGGGCGGAGGAACATCAGGCGGAGGACAACGAATCAGCCGCTCCCCGTGTGAGATGATTGTCTGTACCCTCTCCCTTCTCTCCTCCCCCAGGGTCCTAAATCGCGTTTGAGGGGGGGGGGCGCCCCACACGCCAGGGGAGACGAGCTCGTCAACGTTCCGAACTGGAAGGTCTCCCAAATCCTACCTTGGAGGTTCCCACACGCCTCCGGAGCCACCAAATCCTAACTCGGAGTTCTCCAGCATGCCTGAGTTTCCATCTAAGCTTGCTTCAACTGGAGCTCCAAGACGTCGAGGAAGCCTCAAAGACACCCACAATCGCCTGCAGGCAGGCCCAAGAACACCCCAAGAGGCCCCAAGAAAGCCGCCACAGGCCCAACAAAAGTATACAGTCGCCTTCAAAACTTCAAATTGTCCCATGAAGCCTCACATGATCTCACCATTGAACATTTGCCTTCCACCTCAAGACCATCGAGATCGCCAGCAGGCGCCGAAGAAGGCCCACAATAATGCACCCCAAGAAGGCAGCATTATGGGCACCTATATTCAGGCCCGAGAGATCAGGACGGGTTCTGCGATCGTCGCGAGTTTCTCTCTCTTCTGGGAGCCGGCAAGATGGCTTAAGCATCCTGAGTAATCGAGCGGCACAGGCGGATGACGAAGACAATGCGGTGAGGACGATGAGATGGGAAATGCTTTTGGTTTCTGAATTGTGCGGTTAGTATTGTCCTTGTGTTTTGTATTCGGAATCCTTGTTTTTGTATTGGAGTCCTGTTTTGGGGGCGGAAGGGGAGGGAGTGGAGAGGACGAAGGGCGAGGGCGGGCGAGGACAGAGGGCGAGGAGGGGCAGGTGGTGGAGAGGAGAGCGAGGACGGGGAGCGCAGAGGAGGATGGGTGCGAGGGCGAGCGAATGAACAACCGAGTCAGGGCAGGGGGAGCGGCGAGGACGAGGGCGCGGAGCCAACTGGGGGAGGAGGCGGAACGACCGGGCGATGACGAGAGGAGGGCCTCCGGCCCCAGCGGTGCACGTCGGTTGGCCCCCGAGGTGCCCACGGGGGGGGGGCCGTCTCGCTCTCACCCCCGTCCTCATCTCTCTCGTTCTCTCGCTCTATCGCTCTCTCTCGCTATCGCTCTCTCTCTCTCTCTCTGTCTCTCGCTCGCTCAAGGAACCCCCCATCCCGTCTCAACAACCCCCATTCTCCCACCACTCCGCTCATCCACCTCTTTCTTCTCCTGCTCCTCCTCCTCCCACCTCTCTTCATCGCCTCCCGACTCCTCCTTTCAGCACCTCTTCTCAGCTTCTCTCTCCTACAGCTTCGCCACTGTGCCCCCTGGCACGTTGAGGGTTGGAAGACTGCCAAGGTCTGCCTCGCAGGGTTTGAATTCCATGGATCTCCCTACAATCAGTGAACTTTGGTTGGTCGTGCAATTCGTATGAGCATGTCAAATCGGGCAGAAGTTGGGACCAATGTGTTGTTTTCGACATCATTGTATCCGTAGCAGCTTTGGCTCCCATGGCGGGCTTTCAGAGCGCGCCACGGCGTGGCCAGATTCTGGCTGTGGGCCGACGACCGGCGACCGAGGCGACGACGACCGACGACGACGACCGACCGACCAACGACCGACGACCAGACCGAATCACCCACCAACCGACCGACCGACCGAAACGACGACGACCGACGACGACCGATCGACCGACCGACCGACCGACCCACCGACCGACCGAGACGACGACCGACGCACCGACGGACCGACGGACCGAGACGACGACGACGACGACGACCGACCCATCAACGGACCGACGGACCGACAGACGAACGCGCGGACTCACCCCGCGTGGGAGCGAGGCGAGGCGAGGCGAGGACTGGCCCGTCCCCCCCCGCCCCCGATTTATACGTTGAAGCCCTCAGGCGGGTGAGGCTCCAACCCTCAACTTTTACCCCGGAAAATGTTCCAGCCGCCTATGCCGACAAGAAGGAGCGGTTCCAGCCCTCACTTTCTATGAAAGGACATGTTCCAGCCGCCGACGGTGTCGGTTCAAGCCGTTGTTTTTGACCCAACCCTGAACCAGGGGAGGCCCCTTACGAGGGAACGTGTTCCAGCCGTTATGCCGACAAGACGAGGTGGCTCCAGTCCTCAATTTTTACGATGGAGAGCGCTCCAACCGCCCACGGTATCCGTTCCAGCCGCTAACTTTAACCCAGCGCGGAGCGTTCCAGCCGCGCATGGCGTGGGGTCCGGTCACGCAACTTTACCCAGCCCGAACGTTTCCAGCCGCACAAGGCGTGGGTTGCAGCCATGTGCTTTTACAGAACACGAGCGCTCCAGCCGCCCACGGCAAATTCCCATTAGCAAATTAGTCTACTGACTGGCCAATACTGTTGGTGGTAACAACTAAACGAGCATATCATATCGGGCAAATTTTGGATCAAACGTCTTGTTCTCAAATTCATTGCATCCGTCGCCGTTTTGGCTCCCGTGGAGCGCTTTCGGAGCGCGCAATGGCGTGGCCCGACTCCGGCGACGACCGACGACCGACCGACCGACCGACAACGGACGGCCAGACCGAACGACCAACCGACCGACCAAACGACGACGACCGACGACGACCGATCGACAGACCGACCGACCTACTCACTCACCGACCGACCGAGACGACGATGACGACCGACGGACCGACCGACCGACGGAACGAGACGACCACGACCGACGACGACGGCGACGACCGACGGACCGACTGACCGACAGACGAGCGCATGGACTCTTGGGAACGAGGCGTGGATACAATGCTAGGGCCCCCGCCCCTGGCCCGTCACCCCCCAGAATTATGGACACCTTTAAAGCTCAAAGCTGGGTGAGGTTCCAGCCCCCAACAGAGGGAATTTGTTCCAACCGTTTATGCCGACAAAGAGTGGAAACATTCCAGACTCAGCATCGGCGCCGTCACTGGCTGTTCCGTCGTCGCTGTCAGCATCGCCACCAACATCGCCAGTATCATCATCGTGTCTACCGTTGTCGACGTTGCCATGATACCGTGCCAGCCGACATTGCCGTCTCGCACTGAAGTGCCCGCTGGGATGTGCCCTGCTGTCAACGCCACCGCGTTCGCGTCGGTCGCGCCAGACTAGCTCGCCGCTGCGCGCGCGAGCATGCACGGGCTAGCGCGGCCGCAGAGATGCACCAGCCAATGCTCAGCACTCGTCGCAATCGCTCCCGCACGGGTTTTGTAAACCTAGTTGCGGGTGGGTGGGTGGGATGATTGCGCGAGCAGTGGAGTCAACAACCTCAAGTTCGGCTAAAGAGTTCCGACCCTTAATTCTTAGCCAGATGCTCCTGCCGCCCACTGCGTGGGTTCCAACTCTGTGAGAGCGTTCCAGCTGCCCGCGGCATGGGTTCCAGACGCGAACTTGCACCCACCGTGAGCTTTCAAAACGCGCGCGGCGCGGGTTCCAACCGTGCACTGCTGCCATGCGGGAACGCTCGAGCCGCCCGCGGCGCGGGTCCCAGTCACGGATTTCTACCGAGCGCGAGCGTTTCCAGCCGCCCACGGCGCGGGTTCTAGCCATGCAATTTTACCGAGCGCGAGCGTTTCAGCCGCGCGAGGCGTGGGTTCCAGCCGCGCACTTTTACCCGGCTCGAGCGTTTCCAGCTGCGCGCGGCGCGGGTTGCAGTCATCGGGTTTCACTGAAAGCGAGCGGTTCAGCCACCCAAGGCAAACTCTCCATAGCACATTGTTCCACCGACTGGCCAATCAGTGGACTATCGTTGGTAGTGCAATTTGGAAAACATATCATATCATACTTAATTTTGGGCCCAACGTCTTGCTCTCGACCTCGTTGCATCCGTAGAGGGGCGCGGATGCAGTTCCAGAGCCCCCCCCCGTGGGCCGCCCCCCCCGACTCGTTTGTATGTTTGCATCCATCAGCCAAGCGAGGCTTCCGGGGGAACTGGTTCCAACCGCCTATGCCGACGAGAATGGTGGTTCCAGCCTTCAACTTCTACAAAAGAAAATGGCCCGGCCGCCCCTCGCGTCGGTTCCACCCCTTGATTCCTACGCAACCCGAAACCTAGTGAGGTTCAAACCTCTGATTTCTACGACGGAAAATGGTTCCTCCGCCTGTGCTGTCAAAGCGGGGTGGCTCCAACCATGATTTTGCTCATGGGCCCCCCAGAATTAACGGTTCTCCCTTCCTTGCAATTCTATCTGACTGTGCCCCATCGCCCATCCTAGATATGAACTCGCACCATCCCAAGTATGCTGGCATCGCCCCTTTTATCTTCTGCAGACAGTGCCGTGCTATGCGCGCGTGCGAGTGACCAAAAACCATTCGGCTCCATGGGTCCGTTGCCCCCCCAAACAAAAACGAAGCGCGCGCGTCGTCGCCCGCGGATGTAAAAATCGACCGGCAGCAACTTTGGAACTCGCAAGCATTTCTGACTTGAGTGCTCCGGACACATAAAGCCACATTGCTTCGCAACAAGGACATTCAAGACAAATTTGCGCCTGCGCTTTTGCGAGTTTTTAAGCGAACCGTCGGTTGTTCAACATTTCCATAATATTGCCAAACTGGCGGAGCGCCGCCGATAACGAAGGATGCAAGGGTACCCTAACGCACCCCCATCCTTGCCGAACTGGCGCTTGGGGCACAAGCAAAAATGACGCAAGGACGCAAGGGTGCCCTTGAAGGTCGCGCGTCCCTGCGGGCACGGCGCATACTCCCAAGGGCATCTATGGGCGGCGCCTACCTCGGCGGCAAGGATGCGCCAGGGAGCTATGCGTTGCTCGCCAAATGCGCGACGGTGCGCACATTGCGGCGGCGAGGACGATGCGCGAGGGCGGCCTGCCTGGCCCGCATCCTTGGCGGCGCCCCCAAGGTGCGCCACGCGCTACAGACTGTGGCGGCAAGGTTGAGCAAGGGCGCCCTGCCTGGCCCGCATTCTTAGGCGGCGCCCCCAAGGTGCGCCGCGCTGCGCACAATGCGGCGGCAAGGAGGATGCGCACGGGCGCCCTGCCTGGCCCGTATCCTTGGCGGCGCCCCCAAGGTGCGCCAGCCAGGCTGTGCGCAGTGCGGCGGCAAGTATGCGCAAAGGCGCCCTGCCTGGTCCGCATCCCAAAGTGGCGCCCCCAGGTGTGCGACGCTGTGCGCGGTGCGGCGGCACGGATGCGCAAGGGGCGCCCTGCCAAGCTCTCCATGGCTTACGCATGGCCCTACCCATGGCCCCCGCGTGGCCTGCCCGTGGCGTACCCATGGCCTACACACGGGCTTCCTATGGGCTTACTTAAACGTGGGCTCAGGAGCTAACGGCCCGCGGTTCTATGGCCCAGGGGTCTCGGGCCTTGGAGTCTAGGGCCCAGGAATATATAGCCCTGTCGCATAAGGCCCAGGAGATTGGAGCCCTGGAGTTTCAGGCTCAGGCGTTTAGGGCGACGGAGTCTGAGGCTCAATTGTCTGGGTACCTGGAGCCGGGATGGACCGAAGGGGCAAGGATGCAAGGGTAACCTAGGACAAATTGCTCATCCTTACTCTGCGGGTTCACTGTAATACATGATTTGGGCATGACTCGGATCAAGACGCCCCACGAGGACCCCAGACAGCCGCAAGAGAATCCCAAGACGTGCCATAATGGCCCAAAAGGGCTCCAAAAAAGGCCAAGAACCTCGACGGAACTCTTGTCCAGCCGTGCCCCCCATGAAGCAATGTGAATCGTCCAGCGGCCAATCCGTGCACTCCTACCGCCACCAATCTACCCTCACAAGCTCCAAAACCACAGGAACGCTGTCGACAATCGTTTTTCATCGTCGTCGTGCTCGCTCGACGTGGGCGTCGTTGTCGACGTCGTTTCCGCCATCAAAGCGAATTTGCTTCCGATCTAGTGTTTCAGCGTTGACCGGTCACAACGCTCTTGCGATCTCTCGTGTGGGAGTCTGGTTAGCGTTCTGAAGAACGAGGGGGACGCACCATTCAACTCTACGCTTCCTGTTCTCTTCACCTCCGTCTGCCCCGCCCCACCTCCTCACGCTCCTGCTGACGCTCTTCCTCCTCACCCGTTAGAATATCCTTACGTATCCTATTCCCCTCTCCATCCGCCTCCTCTTCATCCCTCCGACCTGCTCCGTCTCCTACTGTTCATCCCACTCCTCTTGCTCCTCCTCCTCCTCCTCCTCCTCCTCCTCCGCATCCTTCAGCTCCTTTCCTCCTCCTCCTCCTCCTCCTCCTCCGTCTCCTCTCCCCCTCGTCCTCTCCCCCTCTGCCTCCGCATTCTCCCCCTCCTCACTGTCCTCCTCGTCTGGCTGCTGCTTCTACTCCTCGTCGTCGTCATATCCCCCCACAATCTCATTATCCGTATCCTGCTCCTAGTTTTGCTCCCCGTCCTGCTGCTCCTCCTGTTTACCGCGACGATCGGAGGAATGCCACAGAAGCGGCGATCGACATATTGTGTGCGGTGTCAGGCGGGTGGTTCCCGATCCCTCCCCGGACGTACATGCTGCGCATGAACAGGTCACGGGGCACGACTGGAGAGAGCCTGCTAGTCCCTGGCAACAGGTACTGGTCCTTCAGAAACTGCACCTTGCACCCTTGACATTGCTCGGGAGTGCATGGGTCTCCTCCTTCGCCTACGCCCTCTCCTCGTCCTCCTTCGACAGCCCTCCCCTGCCCCTGCCCTCCTCCCCCTCCTCCTCCTCCCGCCCCCCTGCTGCAGAGGTCGATCAAGAAGCTCTTAATGATTGGATCGCGTCCTCCACCCAACACAAAGACTCCGCCACTCCAGCCCACCCTGCCACGGCCTGTGCCGCCACCTCCACCGCCTGCTCTTTCCAGGCAGAGCGGCGAAGCTTGTCAGTCGGCAGCAGCAGCAGCAGCAGCAGCATCGGCTGACCGCCCACAGACCCGCTCGTCTGCGCCTCGGGCGAGGTGTCTCGGTGGCCCGCACACAAGGCCAAGAGGGGACAAATGGCCCTGCGGAAGGCGGCGTTCCTGGTGCCAACTGCAGCAGTGGAGGCCAGTCCACAAGAAACCTTCCACAAGAAACCCAACCCTGAGACCCAGGACGTCCGTGGATTCTTGGTGTGGGAACGGCACGTTTTCCATCGCACAACCAACACACCCAAGAAACCCAGGGCACCCTGGAGGCAAGCAAGGTGCTTCTTGGCATGGGTCTCCACTGTAGACATGGCACGGCATTGGGACAAAACGGCTCTGCGCGAAAGGACATGGCTGTGTATGCCGCGCTGGCGAGTGCGCCGAGGCTGCCGAGCAGTAGAGCCTGGCCAGGGACGACCGCTTCGCGGCTCCGCTCGAGCCGGGGCGCCGAGCCAAGGAAACACCGATCTCGACATCAACATCGATGTTTGATTCTCGGGCGCTCTTGGACACACCGATCTCAACATCAACGTCGATGTTTGAACCTGTGTGCAACAAAAGCCCGCGAATCCTCGGATACTCTGGCGCTCTTGGGCACCTCGGGGTTCGCCGCGTGGCGTCGCCCGAGGCCCTGGACGCGTCCTTGCGGGCCCAGGCCTCCAACGCGGCCTACGTAAGACGGACAGGCCTCCTCCTCCTCCTTCCATTTCCTCCTCCTCCTCCTCCTCCTCCTCTCCTCCTCCAGCTCCTCCTCCTCCTCCTCCTCCTCCTCCTCGTCGTCGTCGTCCTCCTCCTCATCCTTTACCTCCTCCTCATCCCAGATCGCCCCAAAACGGCCCCCGAGGCTCTCAAGAAGGTACAGGGAGGCCTTCAGGCGGCCCCACAGGGAGGCAACAAGAGCGCACCACAGACAGGCCGCTTGGAGGGTCTCCTTTAAGATGGGCCCGAAGCCCAAGACCCAGAGGCCCTCAAGAGGCCCTCAAGGAACTCCAAATAGGTTTCCGAGAGGCTCCACGAAGCCCCTATGAATGAGGCTCCCCAAGAGGCCACCAACAAACTCTCAAGATGCTCCCCAAGAGACCCCAAAATGCATGCGACAAGCTTCTGGTCCATGACCTAGGCACGATGGCGGGATGGGCTGAAGGCCACTAGATCCAGCAGCCTTTGATGGCAAAGACCCAAAGCTCAGGAGAGCGACTCCGCCGTACCAACAAATGACACTACTTGCCTCCCATCAAGCCGGCTCCAATGCGCCCCGCTGAAGGCACTCCGTTGGCGCGGAAAACTGCAATACTGTGCGGCACAGTGGCCAACACGGGTGCTTGCACGTGGGTCACTTGGTTTATCGAGCACAGGCTGTGCTGTCTCAACGTGTGCTTGGATCACGGTCTGGCGGTGATGTCTCGAACGTGCGTTCGCTGCGGCGTGCATCTGCGCCACGCCCTTTGGCAATCAACGAATTGTGCTGCGTGGCTCTGCTGCCGGAACTACGTTCTCACTCCGATTGGAACGGTAAATATACCCCCAAAATACCTCACAATGGTCAAACAAATACTCAAAAAATCATCCCCAGACTATTTGTTGACTATTTTTAGTTATTCCTCCTGTAGAGGGACAGGCCCGACTTGAGGCTACTGTACACTGCACTCGGTCTGGTTCGCCTTCTCGTTTACTCAAGATGGACAGGGTCTGCTGTCGGCGTTCCTCCGGTATTGCCTTGCCCATTTCGATCGTACCGATCTGTTTCCGTTCCTGGCTTCCTCTCGAAATTTGCTGGGCGTCTATCGGTGCGTGCCTGCTGCTTCCCATGGCGCCGAACTTAGGCTCCTCGGCCATTGTGTTGATCCGTACTGGGCTGGTCAACAGAGCTGACGCGCGGGACCCCTCTGGGCGCACAGCCCACTTCGGAAGGCCGGCAGGCAGTGGAGCACGCGCCGTTGCAGAGCCGAGCGTCGTGGTAACAAGCTGCCCACTGGCGGATTCACCAGCGGAGCGCTCGTTCTCGCATGGTGGAAAGGCTCCGTCTGGCTTCGCTCACCGCTGGTGTGCGTGTGTGTGACCCCAGGACCGAGCCACCTGTGGATGCCAAACCTACGCCTCTGGGGGAACCAACAGATACCGACACGGCTACTCCCCCCATCTCCCCCGTGGTACGTTCAGATGAGGATCTCGATGCGAATCCAATCGTGGCGACGAGGTCCTCCCAGGAGGCCCAAAAAGGTAAAAACGAGGTCAGCGTAGCGGTACAAGTACAGTGAGCGCCGCTGTGGGGAGGCGCCACCGCCTGAGCCGAGCCTCGGCACAACTCTGTGAGTGTATGTGTGCGGGCCGTCCCCCCCATCTCATCCTGTCCCTTCCCTCGCCATCGCTCGGACGTCCATTCCTCGTGCATCTTTCGACATCGTGCGTGTTTTTTGGGGCCCGGTGATCCAGCATGCTCCCCGATGGCCCCCGCGGAGGAAAAACTGCACACGTCCGAGCAATGCCTGGCTCCTCGCCCCCACACTGCGCTCTTCCTCGCTTTCCTCCCCCCGCTCCCCTGGCTGGTGCCCCCCTCCCCCTCCTGCCGCCTCCTGTTAGGTCTGGCATGTCCCCCTACAGGCGGATTTTGGACAAAAAATTAAGCATACCCAGAACATAACCCCAAATGGGCAAACAATGCTCAAGAAATCATGCCCGGACTATTTGTTGACCATGTTTGGTTATTCCTCCTGTAGAGGGGCAGGCCCGACTTGAGCCTCCTGCCGCCCCCCCGGGGGCCCCGCCGCTCTGGCGCGTCGCTCCGCCGAGGGCAGGTCCGCCAGCTCCGGGGTGGTGACGGTGAAGCCGTAGAGCTGGTGCACGGGCGCGGAGAGGCACGCCGCGCAGACGTTTCCTGCGCGGCGTTCCCCGCGCCCCTGCGCTCGTGGGCAGCCACGCACGAGCCCTGCAGTCGGCCTTGATTGGACAGGACACGCGAGAGGACACGAGACCCTTCCGGGGGCCACATTGCCATGGAGGGTGTAGGAGGCATGGGTCGCGAGGCGCAGGACACAAGGGTACCTAAGGGTATCCTTGATTCGGCAGGGTCGAGCTACTAATCAAGGCCGACTGTACCACCTGCGGGCCAGCCTTCTGGGAGGCCGGCTGGGCTTCAGAACTCGAGGGACGTCGAAGCCGAGCGGGCCCCGCGGGGGGTCGGGTTCGCAAGCGGTCGCAAACCACTGCCCCCTGGCCCTGCTCGCGCAGCTCGTCGTCGTCGTCGTCCTCTCCTCCTCCTCCTTCTCCTCCTTCTCCTCCTCCTCCTCCGCCCGACCTGCCCTTTCCATCCTCCCCTTCCCCTCTTTCTGCCCATGCTCCTCCTCGTGATCCTTCCACTCCTCACCCACACTCCGTATTAGAATTTGTTCCTACTCTGCCGCCTCCACGGACGATAGAGGCCAGCTCCAGGTCATTCCATCATGTCCGTCGAAAGCAATACGAAATGGGCGATGTTCCTCTTAACATTGATGTTTTGACATCGGTATTGACAAAACGTGGCAGGAACCGGTCGGGGCCCACATCCAGCGCGAATGGGCGAAATGTCGCATTGAACTGCCGCTTGGAGACACCGATCACGCCAATTCGTCGACGCTCGAGCGCACGAATGTGTCGATCTCGCCTCGACGCGGCGCATATCTTTCACACGCCTAGTCGTTGGGACGGGCAGCACGTGCGCGAGCGGGCGACTCGTTGCCTTCGCCCAATTTCCGTGCATAATTCGCCTGCAAGTGGCGTTCTCGCGTGGGCGCGGCGCATGTTTCGCTTGCCGGATCGCATGAAAGCGGCAGCGGCAACGGAGCCGCGCGAGAGCGAGCCAAGTGAGATTCTCGCCCAGAAGCGCCGCGCAATTTGTGCGTGAAAGTGGCAGTGCTGTTGCGAAGTGATGTCCTCGCCCAGAAGCGCCGCGCAAGTTGTGCGTGAGAGTGGCGATGCTGTTTCGGCGCGGCGCATGCTTCGTCTTTGCCGCGCTCACCGGATTCTGGGCCGACAGGGCGAAGGCCAAATGGTTCTCTCGCCGCAACGCCGCGCAGTGACTTCCTGAAGTTGCGCTCCCGCCCGTGCGCGGCCCGCATGCTGACCCCATCGTACTTACAGACCACCTCCCAGAAATAGTTTCGAGCACCCGGAAAAGTGTCGAAAGAGTATCGAAACAATGTCGAAACAGTGTCGGACGAGTGTCTCCAAGGCCCCGGCACGTGAAAACCCTCGAGACTCGATGCGTTTGTGATGCTCGAATTTCTTTCTGGTGATCAAGGCTAAAGTAGGTTGGAACATCATAAACCAAGTCGTCGAAGGCGGGACTGCGCGCGAGCGCCTCCCGCTCGCTGGGTGGCAACGCGTTTGCGTCCCGCTGTCAGGGTGTACCACTGATGCCTCCGCTTCGGGAGGAGAGGCCGGGAACGGGCGGGGTCCACCGACTCATGCGACCTGGCCAACTTGACCTCTACCCTCCTCCTCCCGATTCTCCTCGTCTTCCCCGTCCTCCTGGTCCAGCTCCAGGTCACGTCCATCACACAGCTCCACCTCTGAACTGCGCTCCTGCTGCTCCCCTCGGGCCGGACGAAAAGGGGATTAGCACAGATTTCTCTGGCGCCTCCCAGCGCCAGAGGCGCCAATGCATCGAGACACGCTCCTCTGGTCCAGAGCGGGTACGTGGCCGTGGTCGAGACTGGCTGATCGTAGCCGAGGTCGAGACTGGCTGATTAGTAAAGGCGGGGCTATCGAACCAGCTCACGTGGCTATTAGTAAAGGCGGGGTTATCGAATCAGCTCACGTGGCTGATTTCTCCGGCGCCTCCCGGCGCCCAATGTATCCAGAAGAACGCCTGGCGGCGGGGCCGAAACAGGCCGCGTGCAGTAGATTTCGCACACACCCTGTCCCCGTCACCCCCATTCGTCCGACCCGAGCTGAGCAGGCCCCCGCCGCACTGTCGTGCATCGCTGGCGTCCGTGGCCGGAGATCGGTGTCTGGAAACTTCGGCGGAGCTTCGTTGGCCCTGCTCGGGGGCGAGCCCTGGTGGCCCTCAGCGGATCTCCTGCCGCGCCTCGCGAGTGGTCTCCACCCCCTCGCTCGCCATCGTTCACGGCCGAAGCTCGGCGCGGAGGGAGCCCAAGTCCACTCGGGGTCTCCGAAGGACACTTGCGACTATGCCCGCGGACGACTGCTCCCGTCGCCTACATGCACGAGCGGCCCCGAGCAAGACTGACCGTTGGTGCGCGGCTTGAGGCCGCGGGGGGGCCAGATCCACGCGCGTAGGCCACTGCCAGAGAGAGGGCCCTGTGGCTCTGCTCCGAAAGTCAATCTGGCGAAGGGCCACTCCTAAGCATCGCCAATCCCTTAGATGGCCGTGGAAACTCAAGGCCGATTGGTTTCACCGTTTCCGGGAACAAAAACATCTTGTATATCGAAACGGTTAAAACAACGGCGACCCAAACCGGCAAAGACCAAACGGCTCCAAGGTTGAAACAAGAACCGAAACCGGCAAAACATCGGCGACAGAACCGGGAGAACAACGGCGCCGGAATTGACAACAACAAATGCAAAACGGAATCCTTTTAAAAAGATGCCCAGCGGTCTTCCAGGGCCAACTAAGGTTAAGGCCGATCCCCCACGAGGATGCTCTTGCGGACATGCCGATGATCTTACCGCCTTGAAGGGCTCCCCGAGACTTGGGCTGCCAACGCAGGCCTCGTCACGTCAAGAGCACGGATGGCCCAGGGACCAGCAAGCCAAGACCTCTCTGGCAGTCTGGCAGTCTCGTGATCGTGATCAAGTCGAGCAAACTTGTTGCTTTCCTTCTGCCGCCGCGGTGCTGATCATTCGGCATCTCGCCTACCAAGATGCTTGTCTCTCCAGCTGGCCGCGCCATCCTTTGGTGGGCAGGGAACACCATGCTGCCTAATGCAGCTCGGTGCGTCTTTACTCGTCCTTTCGGACAATTGCACATTGTCCCTCAGCTGTCTGTTCCCAGCCGTCAAAGTAATGGACTCCCTCTTCTCACTTGCCTTCTCGAGTGGCTGCACCGTCGGCCAGCAGTACCCACCCAGGGGCGGGCTGCACGATGCCCCAACTGCCGAGTGACCTCCGATAGAAGACATTGAGAGATGGTCGACTGCACACAAGCGCCGCTGGCCACTCCCACAATCCAGTCGCCCACGTGTATGCAGACCTCTGCCGCGTCGTCGCAACGTGCCCGCAGGCACGACACGACTGCCGTGGCAACCGAAAAGCCCAACTTCCTCAGACGCTGGTTGGCCGTGAGTTGATGGGAGTCCATAGATGGGGGGGGGGGCGGTCGCATCGCGCAAACGGGCGGCGTCGGTCTCGTCATGGCTACGGCGGAACGCGGGCACTTCGAGTTGCTACCTAGAGGTGCCGCTGTAGGGGGCCCTCCCTTGCGCATGTGCGTTGGGCCTCCGGGCTGCACGCGCGCCCCGTTGCCAATGCAAAACCAGAACGCCCCGGACCTCGGCGACCATCCTGACTATAGTGAGCGGGCAGTTGGCGTCTCGGAGAGGCGGTTTCGACATTGCCGTTCTGCACTCGTTTCGACGGTTGGTCATTCCCCGCCCCAAATCCCACCAGCCCCCTGGGCGTAGGTGGTCTAACGATATCTGTCTTTCCTCTTCCAAAGAAGCCCCTCTTCCCTTCGGGGAGGGGTACCCAGGGCATTTGTTGGGAGGGGCCTTGAGTCATCAGAGGGCCCGTTATCGCTCAAGATGGCTCCAAGAGGGCCTCCGATGCTCCAAGATAGCCTCCAAGCTGCCTCAACATAGCGCAATGTCGCTCAATATGGCCTCCATCATGCCTCCAAGAGGCCCCAAGAGGGCCATAAGGCGGTTCCAAGTGCTCTCGGCGACCCGTCAGGACCCCTCCAAGAGCCCAACATCCGTAAACAACCTGAAGGGGAATACATGGTTTTTGCTGCCTCGCCGTTTCGCTTCCGATGCGCTTTGGGGGCCTCAGGCTGGCCCAAAAAGGCCCCAAGAGGAGCCCCATAGGCGCCCAAAACGGTACCAAGAGCGCCCAAAAGCGCCCCCACGCGGGTCCCAAGAGGCAGTTTGGAGGGCCCCAGGAGGGGACCTTAATCTGGACCTTCCTTTTCGATCGATAGCCTCGAAAATGGCCCCAAAAGGCGCTCCAGGGCTCCCAAGAGAGCCCCAAAAGAGCCCCCAAGCGGGCTCCAAGAGGGCCCCAAGAGGGCACCAAAACGGCCCCAAGAGGGACCCAAACCTCCCTCTTCGTCCTCGTGCCCCTCATCCTCATCGTCTTCCTCCTCGTCCCAATCCATACCCACATAAGATGGTTCCGTGGGTCATCGTCGCCGTGGTCCTCCTCCTCCTCCTCCTCCTCCTCCTCCTCCTACTCCTCGTCTTCGTCCTCGTCCTGGGCATCATCGTCATCCTGTTCCTGTTTTTCCTCTTCCTGCTGGTCGTGGTCGTCGTTGTCGTCGTCGTCGTCCTCCTCTTCACCTCGCCCCCACGCGGCCCCCAGGCATGGCCCGAAGAGGCCTTCCAACGCCGCCCCCCTCCTCCCAGAAATCTCTCAGTTTACCCTGGTTGCTCGCTCTGTTTCACTAGATGTGTCTCTTCTGTCCGCTTCCCGTCACCGCTCAAGGTCAGGGTCTCTGAATGAGCTGGTGAAAATATTGTTTGGTACGCGGGCACACGAAGCGAGTCGAACGCCGTGCAAACAGGGGCAAGCCGTGCCACGAGCTAAAGGAAAAAACAGAGGTGGGCAACGCCATGCACAGATGGTGGGGATACTTTTTGCTCGCGAGCGCGCAGCAGTACCAGGCGCCGGCAGGGAATTGCAAACTACCAATGGCCCAAATTACGCACTAAACGCTGGCGGGGATTTTTTGATCGCGACCGCGAGCGGGCACCCGCGCAGCGTCGGAAAAATCGTGCTACGAGCGGGGGCCGGTGGGCACAGCATAACTGTCGCCCGCCAAACGCGGGAACAAAAAGTGCAAGGCCACCACGCAGAGGCAGCGCCAGCGCGGTGAAACCGAGGCGAAGAGGGAGAGAGCGGCACGAGACAAGAAAACAAACGAAAATAACGACGGTGAGAAGGGAACCGAAGGAGCGGGAAGAAGAAAAAAAAAAACGCAGCTCAGAAGTGGAACAATTAGGGGATCACCCTGGCCTTTCCGTATTCCATGTACTTACCGTAAGTAGGCGACACATGAACTATAAAACCAATCCACTCATCGGATGCCGATGCCTCGTGCTGACCAAGCGACCGCAGAGCCAACTCTGCTGGTGGGGAGACTTTTTAGTCAGCGGCCGCGGGCGAGCGCGCCAGCGGCGAGTCAGGTCAAAGCGGGCCACGCAGCGACGAATTAGACTAAAGCAGCAGAAATCGGCCACACCCAAAGCGGGAAACCGGGGCCTCACGCGGCAACTCAGCGGCGGACCGGCGAGTGGCAGGGGGCAGCTGAAACTGAGTCGATTGGTGGGGATACGCGAAGCGCGAAGAATTCCTTCAGAATGTGAACACGGTCAGACTGACTAGGACGGTTGATCTGGCAGGTGCACCGGCCCTGGAAGCTCGGAGCTCCTCGGCATGCATGCCGTCACCTTCTCAACGGTGCCCCGTGCCCCGTGCCGATACATGTTCATAGGTGTCCAAACCAACTTCTGCAACTCTGGTTCGCAAGTTTCATTGCGCAATAAATTCGGACCTCGGTCGCCTTCACCGTCCCGATCTTTCGCTCTTTCGCTTCCCCTCCATCAATTTCGTCTGAAATGGCAACGGTCCTCGAGAGTCTTGGCTCCGATGCCCACGCGCGTGAACGACACCCTGACTCGAGGCCCGAGGACCGAACGACGGGAATCTGGGAGGAGGCTCGGGCGATCGCGCCTCGCAAGTGCAAGATCACTGACCGCTCCTCATTCCGTATCCCGGTCCTCCTCCTCCTCCTCCTTCTCCTCCTCTTTCTCTTCCTCATCCTTCCCCTCGTTCTCATCTTCGTTATCCTCATGACGTAATGAAAACATCCTCTTTGATACCACTCTGTCCACTCTCGATTCCGATCGCCCAGGCGAAGTCCTACGAAGTCTCCCCCCAACGTGGTCATGGCATTGCTCTTGCCAGTCGCCTTCTCAACAGCCCAGGTGCACGGCTGGGCAAATATTCGGAGACCTGAAGGCGCACCCTCGCCATACAGCTTCATCGTAAGATCGTCACGCTTGGAGCAGTGCTTCCCAACTTTGCATAACTCATCGCAGACTAACATTCTGGTGATGGGTCCTGGTGAAGCTTGGCTGTGACGGAGCAAACTCGCCCGCGGGACTCGTGCACTAACAGAAAGGATGCGACAAGGCAGCGAAGGTCCGAGACACTTCCGCATGACGGGCAAACATCAGCCTGAGGTGGATTGGAGGGGTGGGAAGTGGGAGAAGGAATGGGAAGGGCACACGGCCAATACAATCGCGTTGAAGGATGTCGCCCGAACGCTTGATCCCATGCGAACGTCTTGCTCGCTCGTCCTCGCTCTCATCTGCCTTTGTTGATGCTAATGCTTCATATTGCAATCATTGGTGATCAACTCTCCCGCCTGAAAAGAGAAATGTCCGCCACCGTGCCGCACTCGATGAGGTTCCTTCGAGTCCGATGCATCGCACATGGTTTACCCTTGAAGGGGCTCAGGGCCCAACATCCTGGGCCTTCCTGAATTCGTTGGACTGCTCTCGTGCTTCTTGGGGCCGACTGCGCGACTCTTCCACAGGCCCAACGCGCGCAATTCTGGACATGCCTCTCCAACATGGTCTAACATGGTCCCAGGGACCGTCCTGTAGCCCCCTTAGGCGCCTCTTGGACCATCTTGGAAGCCCTGTAGCTGATCCGAGAAACCCAACTCTGAATTTGTCTACGTCTTTCAAGACGGCCCACGAGGCCCCAAAGATCGCCCCGAGACGGCCCTGGAGCCTCAAAGAGGGGCCTAGTAGGCCCCCACGACGGCCCCAAGACGGGGACACGGACTGGTGTTTCGAGCCCTCCACCCAAAGATGGTCCAAGATCCCCCCAGAGACCCCCGAGGCGCCTGCAAGTTAACCCACGAGCCCCTCAGAAAGCTCAAAGCGGCCTCTGAGAGCCCTCCAAGAGGCATCCTCAGAGACCACAGTATGCATCAGAGAAGCCACTAACCCACAATCCAGGCACTATGGCATCAGGGGGGGCTGAAGGCCACTAGGTAGACATACAGAGGCAGCGAGAGAGAGAGAGAGAGAGAGAGAGAGAGAAAGAGAACGAGAGAGGAACGATATAGGACAAGAGCAAAGTGAGAGGCAGAACGAGAGGGAGAAAGAGAGAGAGAGAGAGAGAGAGAAAAAAAGAGAGAAAGGGAGAGAGAGAGAAGGAAGCAGAGAGAAAGAGAGCAGAGGGGGCTGAGTGAATCCGAGGTGGATGTCCTTTCCACACGAACCAATCGACAAATCATACATTAGCCTGGCCAAGGACCCAACCATCTGCAGTTGTGGGAACCGCCGTTGTATGCACCGCATACGGTGGAGCTCCCTATGGGCCCACGAAACGTGTGAGGGGTGTGCCAAGTGGGTGCTATGGGCACATGCGAGCGCTGGCATGTGGGCCTTCGGTGGAGCTCCCCATGGGGCCACGAAACGTGCGAGTGGTGCGACACAATGGGTGCGGTGGGCGCATGCGAGCGCTGGCATCTGGGCCTTCGGTGGAGCTCCCTATGAGGCCATGACACGTGTGAGGTGTGTGTGTGTGTGTGTGTCCCTAAATGGGCGCGGTGGGTGCATGCGAGCGTTGGCATCTGGGCCTTCTGTGGAGCTCCCCATGACGAACCACTCGACACAGAATGAGAACGGGGTCGGCTGGTGTGGCGTCAACGTATCAACAAATCCGCCGACCCTGTCGGCGTGTGTGAGGGACTCTTCCGTTCGAGTCGGGCTTTCCCGTTCGACTCGTCGTCGCCGTCTTCCTGAGGTCCACTCACTTTGGCAATCTTCCTCAGACAAGCCGTCCACAAAGAAATTTGACAACGTCGTAGTTCAGTCGAAGGGAAGCCCCTTCCCTTTGATCCCTTCCCCGCGCGGGGGGGGGGTCCTGGGGGGGTCCCAGATGGGTCCCCGGTGGATCCTGGGGGGGTCCTGGGGGGGTCTGGGGGGGGGGGTCGCCACCCAAATTCGTTTTCCTCCCGGGGAGTAGCAAAGCCAAGAAAAGCCCCAAGACGGGTCCAGAGCGCCCCAAGACATCCCCAAGACGGTACAAGAGCGCCACGCATCGACGAACGATCGCCTCAAGACGTTCAAGACTGCTCGAAAACGGCCCAAGAGGCCCCCAAGAAGCTCCAAGAGAGCGCCAAAAGCACTCCCAAGAGGGCCCCAGGAGCCAAAATCGTCAATGTTACGTTGGTGTTTGATTGATTTCAGCCTTCTCGCCTTTTCGGCTTTCCGACGGTCCAAGACGGCCCAAGAGGCCCCCAAGAGCGCCCCAAGACGGCCCAAGATGCCTCCAAGAGGGCTCCAAGACGACCCACGAGGGACGCAGGACGGCGCAAGAGGTGCCGAAGATGGCCCAAGAAGCCCCAAGAGAATGCCCAGAGGAGGGCGAGAAACCGAGAATTCTAGACTTCCGCCCCATGAGGCCCCCAGGAAGCCCCAAGAAGCCTCCAAGAGGCTCCAAGAGCGCTCAAGCTGCCCCAAGAGGCCCCAAGAAGCTTCCAAGAAGCCCCCACGAAGCCTCAAGAGGCCCCCAAAATGCTGCTCAGAGGTTCCCGAGAGCGCTCCGACGAGACCAACGTCAGCGTCGTCGTCCTCGCCGCATCCTCCCCCTCCTCCTCCTGCCACTCCTCCTGCCCCTCCTCCAGAGCCTCCTCCTGCTCGTCCCCCGCGTCCTCCTGCTGCTGCCCCACCTCGCCCACCGCCTCCTCTTCCTCCTTCTGCTCATCCTTCTGCTCATCCTGCTTGTGCTCCTGCTCCTCCTCCTCCCTCGTCTTCGTCATCGTCGTCGATCAGGGTCGGCGGCAGCGGCCGTCAGGCCTCTCCAATCCAACAATGATGAACGCCTATAAGTGAACAGCACATACGAATCCCAAGTTGCCAGCGGCAACAATCGACACAGTGTCCAAAAGTGTCCCCCGACAACACAGCTGACCCGCCTGCGGTGGCAATGACGTTCCTGGCGAAGTGGATGCTGAATCCCGTGCCCCAGGGCTTCATGGAATTGTGCACATTCTTGATGGAGCCAGGCGCCTGCGCCATCCTCTTTCCAATCGTGACCCATCCCTTCTCTAGGAAAGCGGAACATTTGCGGAATGCCTCCTTGCCATGGCTGCAAGCCCCTCCCCCCTCCCTCCCTCTCCGCCTTCCCCCCTCCTCCCATCTCCCCCTCCTTGATGCACAGCGTTGCTCCTGCGCCATCCTCTTTCCGATCATGGCCCATCCCTCCTCTAGGAAAGCGGACCATTTGTGGAATGCCTCTTTGCCATGGCTGCAAGCCCCCCCCCTCCCTCCCACTCCGCCTTCCCCCTGCTAACCTAACCCACCGTTTGATGCAGTGTGTTGCTCCACTCCGCCTCCCACTCCCGCCTCCAGCCCCCCTTCCCCCCTGCCTCCCACTCCGCCTCCCAATCCCGTCTCCCCCTCCCAACCCTCCGTTTGGTGCACAGTGTGCTGCTCCACTTCTCTCGGGCCACACGCACGCGACAGGAGGCAGAGGGAACACCTACACAGGACACCGCCATCGTCCGCCGCCGCCCCCCTCCCTGCTTGTCCCCAAAAACTCATGCACGAGGCTTCGCCTCGCGGTGGCGCCCGCCTCCTTGGAATGCAAGGCGCTCCTGGGACAGCATCCCGGGTTCGGCCATGGAGGCGGGATTGTCGAATTCCCTCGGAGGACCCAGCGGGGCCGCTCGGGGAATCAAACGGCCCCCTTTCTCTCGTTCCCTGAACGGCACCCATTACGCTCCGTACGTAATTCTCACGGCCCCCTGGGCGCTCCGGCAACTCCCGGACCCATGCGGAGAGTTGCTAGATCTGTGACGAAAGAACTCTTGTAACGCTCAACATGCCTCCACATTGATCCTGGATGTCTTCAGGGGGCCGGGCTCGGAGGGGTCGGGATGAACGTCCGTAAAGCAGCACGGACCCGCACGCAGCGCATCGCAGGAAGTACCCACACTGTGTGGTGGCGAAACAGCACCAGGGAACACCAGCGCATCGCATTCCAGCAGCGACACCGGGACACATGCAGCACACGAGCCATGCTTGAGGAGACGACATACAAGATTTGCACTCCGCCCCTGAGAGCGGGGCGCCGGCACACGCAGAGCTTAACTTGTGCAGCGCGCGCGGGAACGACGCTTGACCAGGCAAGAGCGGGGAACGCCGCGTTTGCTTTCTCGGCCCGAAATGCGTCAGGAAAGAGGGGAGGGGGCGGCAATGAGGCGGATGAGGAGAAAGAGGACCAAGTGGAGGACGAGGGGAAAGCAACACACAACAGGAATACTCAGAGGAGGAAGACAAACGCAATGAGGAACAACGGAAAGGACGAGCACGAAAAGGAGGGGGAGGACACCGACGAGGAATATGAAGACGGCAGCGCGAAGAACGAGGACATGATGAAGGGGGAAGAGCGGGTAGGACGAAGAGGTCGACGCCCTCGAGGAGGACGACGACATGCACGTGTACGAACATGCGGAAGAATTCAAAGACCATCCGCAGGACAACTCGGACGAAGACGTCGTTTGAAAAAGATGATAATGACGAGGGCAGTGACGAGGACGATAAGGAAAGCGACAAGGAGGAGGGGGACGAAACACCGGGGGACGAAAATCACGAGGACAAGGACGTGGAAGAAGCGGAGTCCTCAAAATCCTTCGGGGCTGCTTTGGAGACTGATGGGGCCGTCTGGGGCTGTCTCGAAGCCTCTTCGGGGCCTCTTGAAGTTTTTTTTGGGTCCTCCTGAAGGCTTCTGAAGAATGGCTGGGCTGTCCCAGCGTGCACTAACCGTGCGCAGTGTCCCCCCGAGCGAAATCTGCCACCATGCCGGTCGGCAATCAATTGGAGTGTCAGGTCCCTTCGCGCTCTCGCTCCCTGGCCATACACTTCGCGCACTTCGCCACCGCCACGACGTCTTTGCCGCGCTGGGATTCTAGCATCTGGTCCACGAAGTGGTCGTGCGGCAGGCTTCGTCGCGCCGTGGCACTGCGTCATTCCTCTCGTCTTTTCCAGGCTTGTATTTGAAGCGCTCCTTGCAAATGGCGCGGACGCCGATCTCCCAAGCTTCCTGATGCTTTTGGTTGAATTTGTGGCATGGGAGCTCTCGCCCACATGGTCCATCACAGAAAAAAGGAAGGTCTTCCTTTACGTATCACTTTTTGACCGAATGCACTTGATGCAAGCCAAATCTGCGCCCCTGTGGAACAGATCCTGCTCGATGTGCGCCTGGTCTCGACTGGATCTGATTTGGACATCTCTTTCTAGAGCACTTCCCCTTTCTGTTGCCCGTTCAGGGGCGGCCCGGCAACCTCATCTCAATGGGCCAGTCGGCCCGTTTATCGCGAAGGGTCTCTAGGATCCCCCCCAACAGAGGGCAACTAATCATGTTACCGGCTGCCTTATTGGAGGACCAGGGCCCCGCAAATAGGGGATCACGAATTATTGTTTTCCACGGCGCCCACCGCGCAACACCGACGAGGATAGCTACGACCTCAACAGCGACTGCGACTGCGACGACGACTACTGCTACTTATGCCTGAGGAGCGCTCTCACGAAGGAGGAAGATGGAAGTTTTTTCAGAATCAGTCCTATTCACCGCCGGGTAAAAAGGGAGGGGAAAAGGGGGGCGCGGGGCAAAACAGGAGACACTTCGCGGTGATACCTTCTCCTTCGCTGTCTGCGTTTCCACTTCCTTCCGTGCTTGACTCACCAATGGCGCCATATTGCGCGTCTGCGTTGAGACGTCGAGAAGGGGCCGCGGTCTGGGAAGCATGCCCTGCGGGGAAGAGAGATGGGGGCATGGCTGCGCGATGAGCATGTTGCCCGTTTCTGTCGCCCTGCCCAGGATGATGTAGGCGCGCGACATCGCGCCCCTCTGGGGCTTCGCAGCCCGCGCCAGGCGACCCCCGATGGCAGCCGGCAGCGCGTTGCCGCGATGCGCGCGGGGCCCAGCGACCGCGACCGCGCCCGCGTTAAGAACGCGCGTGCGTCGTCAATCTCCGGCGCGGGTTAGTTCAAGAGGGCGCCTCAATATGCGATCTCGCGAGGCCCCGCTGCAGTGCAATCCCAATCTGCCCGCGACCTTGCACTGTCGCCCTCGTCGCTGAGCCCGGCCGCGGAATGCCGCGCGCGCGCGCTTCGACGCGCCCTGCGTCCATGCCCCGCCGCCGACGGCATCCGCGGGCAAGTTCGTCGCGACCGGAAGTGGGCCAGGAATTCCTTCCCGGTCGCCTCCTCGCGCTGTTCTTGGGACTCGCTCGCCCGCATTGCCCGCGAGCGCCTGCGCGCGGGAGGCTCGAGTCCGGGCCCGAACCAGCTCGCGCAAGGGCGCTCGGGAATCGCGCGCGCGGCCCGATTCTGCTGCGCTGCTACCCACGTACGCCATCGGATATCTTGACGCCAATGGGCGGCGCCCCCTGAATGCCCCCCCAGCCGTTCGGGCAACCTCGTGGCCCTGTGCTGCCCAGCCACACCGTTAATGCTCTTCGCGCCTGTGGGCGGCGATCGCCGAATCGCTCGCCCGAGCGTTCAAGGAACAACGTGATCCAATTATGTTGAACTGTCGCGTCGCCTCCACCATCGACTCCCTTCTCCACTCGGGGCGGCGTTCCCTGGGTGGCTGTTGCGATCGTCCGGGGGGCAGCGCGGCTCGCTTCTGCTCGACTGCTGTCCAGCCGCAACATGAATCATGCACGCGCCTTTGGACGCCGTGCCCCAACTTGATCGCCCATCCGCTCGTGGAGCGCCGTGGTCCGCTTCGGCCGACCAGCCGCTCGATGGCAACCTCGTCACTTTTGCCGCCTCTGGGGGGCGTTCCCCGCGCGTCTTGCCCGACAATTCAGGGGGCGCCTGCAAAAGGCCTTCGCGAACTGCATCAACGCGCACATGGCTTATCTTCGCGCGGCCACTCGGAATCTCCCGAATGGCTTGCCGCGCCTATCGGAGAATTCCCCCAACGTTCCATGTCCTTCTCGCCGATGAACTGCTGTCCAACTACGCTGCGAATACACATCGCGCCTCTGGGCGGCGATTCCCCGAGTCGATCGCCCCAACCATTCGGGGGCCACGTGGTCGGGTCATGTTGAGCTGCCGATGAGTTCCCACCATCAATTACAGTCGCTCCTCGGGGCGGTGTTTCCCGAATGGTTCGTCCGATCGTTCGGAGAACAGCATTGCTCGCATCTGCTGTGCTGCTGTCCAACCGCGCCATCGGTTACCTTCGCGCCTCTGGACGTCGTTCCCCAAGCTGGTCGTCCGATCGTTCGGGGAACGCCGAACGGTCTGCCGCTGCTGAACTGCTGCTAAGTGGCAACTGCGATCATCTTCGCGCCTCTGAGCGACGTTCCCCGAATGTCCCCTTCGACCATTCGGGGGATCTCCGCGCGGTGCCCGGCCACGTTCCGTAAACTTACACCGTTGATCATCTTCGCGCAGCGCGTCGGAGATCGCCGAATGGCTGGCCGCGCCGTTCGGGGAACGCCCCCGACTCTCCATCTCCTTCCATCTCGTCGGACGCGATCCCACTTCGCCCGCCGCGTCGTCGTCGCGCGCGGCAGTTCACAGCGCGCTCGCGCGTTGTTCTTCTCGGCGAAAGATGGCCCTCAGCTGCGCTGCGTGGAGCGGACGGGGGCCGGAACGGGCGCGCGAAAGGGTCAGCGTCGAACGGCAATTTCTGCGCGCCCTTGTCGTCGCCCGCGTCGTCTGGTCAAAGAGCGCAACGCCTGCGCTGCCGCCCCGCCTTGCAGGCGTCGCACTTCGTGATCGTTCGGTTGTTCCAGTTGCCCATGTACCCGCGCGTCCTCGCGGAGAAAATCTCCACCCATTATCCATTCGTCTGCGCTGCGCGCGCAGGGTTCTCGCGCGCCGGCTCGACATGTCCGGGCAGCCACGTCCGCGCGCTCCGAGAAAGCAATCCGTGGATGAAGCAGCAGATCTCCCAATATCATAATCCGCTTGACCTGGCTTCCAACGCGGAACGCCGGCGCCGTTCTTCGTCCGCGTGGGCACCGCGACAACGAATGCATCCTGGGTGC